ATGCTGGTGTCATGGGACACAAAGCACTGAACCCACAAAACTTAGGGTTGTTTATCCTTATCAAAATAATCTTATACTCATGGCCTCAACAGCAAGAAAGCAAAAGAGATGAATTCAATTAAGACAAAAAGACCAAAAAAGTACCTGTTCAAATTGTGATTCTCATTCCCAGATAGCACATAAATAGATGCCAAAGCACTGACATCTATTTAGGTGCAATCCTTTTTAAAGTTTTGTTGGGAGAAGGGTGGAAGGTGCGATGCTGAAGTTCACCTACTTGCACATCTGCCAAGTTCACTGAAAACAATAGTGCCCCTGTTCTTTTTCACCAAACACAAGACAGGACTTGATACATTCTCACCCATATACACAGACAGAAATCTTCCCTGAAAAAATATCTCAAAAATCCCTGATAATCTTCAGGTGACTTTGACACATCAAAAAACATTCTTGCAAACCTTTTGTAAAAAGAAGGCCAGCAACCCTGACCTTAACATTTTGAGGAAAAACACAGCAGTCATTTGGCAAAGTACTTTATTTCTAACCATAAGCTGACACTCAGGTTACACTTAAATTTGAAAGGTTAGTGCAAATGGTGCACATACACCTTAAATCACCACAGATCATGGAAACATCTTGACTCTCTGTCCTTTTCAGACACCATTCTGTTTCTCATTCTTTTTCTCCCATTCCTACAAGATATCCCATGCAGAATACACTACCCAAAATCCTCTAAATAAGAAACAGAAATATTCATCAGCTTCCTAGTTAATCTGTCTGCTGCAAATATACATTTCATTTCATGAGATCTACATACTCTGCAAGGAAAATGCAAGATGACACAACATGCTCTACTCTATAACAGCTTCTCTGTAAAAGCAGTTGTAACTGACATCAGATTTTGTTTCTTAGAATCCCCTTAAGACCTGATATCAGCATAAAGGATACACTCTCACATTCACAACTTAATTCCTTTGCATTTGCTTTCCCAAAAAAAAAATACCACAAAAAAAGGAAAAAAAAAGCTTACTATTATTATAAAAATGCGTGTATTTCAGCTAAAGCTTTATTTACTCGTATCTATTTACTCTTTGAGATGCACCACTTGCTTTCAAGGATTCTTCCCTAAAGCTCTGGAGGTCAGCTTCCACTCCAGGCAGAACATGAAGGGCTACTGGTATTTCCAAAGGTCTCACCTCATCTCACTTGTCAGACTGAAGTGGTTCTGTTCACAGCACACCAAGAGTTAACCTGGTCACTAAATCTGGGTGCACAAGCAAGTTCTTTCCCTTTGTCAGGCTGCTGGGTACCAATAGAAACTTTTTTTCCTTCTTAACACTTCTGGACCTCCTGCTTCAAGGCTTCCAGGTATGGCTAGGTCTTGGACACTGTTTCAGCATCTATTCTCTCCTATAGTTTTTAGTATTTCACTGGCAGCATAGAGTTTGTTACAGGATGATTAGCACATGATGAAGATACCTTGCGGACCATTCTCAGCTGCTGGTTCTTGCCTGGGTTTACCAGGGACTGGACTCAGTCCCTCCCTGCCCTATGTCCTGACACACGTAAGTAGGCTGGATATGTGCATCAGGATTTGCTTTGTCAATGACTAAAAGCTAAATGTAAGTCTTTAAATTTAAAAGCAGATGTGAACAAAACCCAACAGAGATAAACAATAAAAATTATCATGAGTCTTTTTCTTTCCTTTTAAAAAAGTTCAAAACACAAAAAGCAACAGAACACATTCAGTGAACCGATTAAAACAACTCTCACTCTTCTAATTACCTAAAAGACTGAAGGCCTGTGTATGTTAATTTCCTGTCACTGTACGGCTAAAGAGTTTGTCTCATTTTTAGCGTATACAGTCAGTAAATACGATGTGTTTGCATACATGTCTGTTTCTCTCTTCCCCCCAGGAGGCATGCAACCAACAACCAACTTCCCAACAGGAGGAACAAAATGACAGACGCGTTAAAGGTATTTTGAAAGCCCAGAAGTACCTAGAACCATGTTTCTGGTGAATCCACGCTGACAGCTAGTCCAAAGTCACCATGGGTAACATCACCAAGCAAAGCATACTTTACAGAATTTCCATCATAATTTCACCCTGACAACAAAATTGTGCTAATGACAGTGACACAACCCACATGCTAAGAAATAAGGCTCTTCCTAAACCATTGCTGGATTTTCTAGGGTCTCATGCTCTTCCACTGCCATATGGCAGCATTCTGCATGCCACAGTTAAAATCTTGGCTCAAACTGGCAGCAGTTGATCGAATCCTCATCACCCAGAGTGCCCTTACAGCAGGGCAGGCACAAGATCCAAGAATGCATATTATTGTTTCGTGCATGCATCCATCCCTACATACGGACAGACCTTCTAAATGTTCCACAGTTTTCAAGTGGCTTAGCCAGGTTAAGTGTCGCAACAAACCTCTCACACAATAGAGGCTTTTGGGGGAACAGACTTGAAAATAGGGAGGGGTAAGGGAAGGAGGGATAACAGTGGCAGAGTATCCTGCTTCACAAAATAAGGACTAGCATCAAAGGAGCTCTTGCACTGTTTACAATAGCATGGTGAAATATTTCTATTCATGCAGCATCACAGGTAACTGCTACCAAGAACCGAGAAAGTGGCAGATTCGGCAAAACAAAAAAACCCAACCTAGGTTTCTTTCATGACCAAGACTTGCAGTTCAAGAAAAAGATACAGGCCATGTAAATACCCAACCTGCTTTTTTGCTAGTCAGGCCATTAGCCAGATATTAGAGAGGAAAAGTTAATGCAATTCTCATAAGAGCTTGTGACAGGATCAAAGATAAATGCTAAGACTTATAAAAAACATGCTACTTTAATACAGCCCAGAGAGCAGAAACCCAAACTGAAGAAAACCTGCAAACATCCCTACAGTGATTTAATTACAGCTAAACTGGTTTCCCAGAGATGATGGAGAAAGTTCAGATTATATCAAGTACTATGATAAAGTCACATTTCACTCAGCAGATACCAGACTTATTCTAGCTGCAGCCTCTGTTGTAGCTTGATGGATTCAGACAATTCCAAATATCTGGATGATATAGTTAAGTCATATACTCGACTATACAGGGAAACACTGTTCTGTGATAAAGTTCTGAACTATACTTCCAGAACTGACCTATATTCAGTACAGCTGTCTCAGTTGCTAATTAGTGGGTTAGCCCAAATATTTTATTATTGAAAAAAAAAAAAACAGCACCAACTCTAGTACTACCAACTCTGTTCATAATAGCAGTGATTTTTCTCTTCTCATCTTTTTTGATATGGCTGTAAGTGTATTGACTCATAAGTGACCCTGAACTGGGGCAAGCATCTGAGCTGCTGCAGTTTTCAACACAAAATTCAGTAACATGTCAGGCTGTAGGTCACAGCAGCTCAGGAGACATACACACAGCCACCTACTTCTATAGATGCAGTAACCTCCAGGAGAAAAGGAGGGCAGGCAGCTGGTGGAGGTTACTGCTGTAGACATCCTAGCCGAGTTGGCTTTTGTTTAAGAGTTATGACTCTGCAGTCAAACGAGACAACTTTCTGCTTACAGCCTGTTGGATTTGTGGTAACACATTATCCAGCTACAACCACTCTGCATATACCAATGTGACCCCAAAACAAGCTTGGATAAAGTGTTAAACATACACTGTTTTATTCAGACCCATCTGCTTTTGATTCTCTTGGCTGTTGTACTGCTTTCCCCCAGCACCACCTCCGTAAGTGTTTCTTTAGATCTTTTTTTTTCCCCCCATCTCCTAGCCTCTCCCATTCCCACTGGGGTCTCACTTTAAACCATCTCACACCATGTCGCCATGAACCATGATGTGAACTTCCATCACGCATGCAACATTCCATGTAAGATAAATTGTACACTTCATAATTAAGATGTAGAGTTCACGCTACAAACAAGACAGATGTGGAAAGACAGCAGTTCCTGACACACGCTTCAGGCTGGCAGCAGATTCAGAAACAAAGCACCGTATCAGCTGACACTTACTTTGTAGTAGATGCCTTAAAATAAATGAGACATGAAGGTTTGGCATTCACAGGGAAAAATACAAAAAGCCAACCACACCGTGAGGTTTAGGCAGAAAGACACCGCTCACCATTACCTCAGATGATGTGACTAAGACAACAAAAGCGTGCGCTTCCCAAGGACAGGCAAAATAAGGGCGGAAAAACACGATACGGAAGGCGAATGAGAAAAGCACGAAGGATCTACTACGGTACGAGGCAAAACCAAACCCAAACCCGCTCCAGCGCACCACCACCGTGAGCCATGCCCGGCAGTACGCGGGCCAGCTCGGGGTGATGTGGCCGTCCCCGCCGTGGTCCTCGCGGGCCAGGGGAGGGTGGCCGGGACTCAGCCCCCGAGCGGTGACAGCATGCAGGGGCCCGGCAGCGGCGAGGCCCCGACCCCCCCACTTCAGCCACCTCCCCCGGCCGCGCCCGGGCGCCCTCTCTCTCCGGCCGGCCGACAGGCCACGGAGCCCCCGGGGAATCCACCACCGGAATCGGACCTACCTGAGCGACAGCCCCGCGACGACAGGCCGCCCCACCACCACCACAACCCCTGCCCAGCCCCGGCGACTGCCCGCAGCTACCGGCTCCCGCAGGCCCCGCCCCGGCCCGGGCTCCCCCCAGCGGCCGGTGGGAAGCCGTAACCCCCCTCCCCACCCCGAGCGAGGCCCCTCACCTGCCTGTCAGGGCGCGGGGCGGGGCAGGGCGAGGCGGCGGTGGTGGTGGTGGTAGTGGTGGTGGTGGCGGTGGTGGCACTGAGGGGAGGTCAAGTCGGCTTCGCGCCCGCGGCTCTCCGCCTCTCGTTGCGCGCGCTCCGGCTCCCCCGCTCCCCTCCCGCGCCCCCGGCGCGAGACACGCGCAAGCCCCGCCCCCGCAGCGCGGCGCCCCGCAGCCCCGCCCTTCCCGCGGCGCGCGCTCGCGGGCCGGGCTTCCCTCCCTCCCCGTGGGCCCGCGTCACCGCTTACCGCTCCCATAGGAAGTTTGGCTCCTCTCCCCTGCCGTAGCGGCTGCTCCGGGCGTCACTCCCGCCTTCCTCCACCTCCTCTTGCGCAAGGCGGGAACTGCGAACTGTCGCTGGCGGACGGCCCTCGCCCCGGCCCAGGTACTGCGGCCGGCAGGAAGGAGCTCCCCTTCGTTCCCCTCACTGATGGTCATGGTGGCGGCCCCTCCAGCGGAGCCACCCGGTGGGCGAAGGGCGCGCGAGGGGCAGCCGTTGGCGGGCGCCCCGGGGGGAGGGTGGGAGTGTGGTGGTTCCTCAGCGGAAAGCCCTTGGCGCCGCCGGCAGAGGGGCAGCGCCTGCTGGGGTGGGGATCGTGGTGCCAGCCCTGTGGCCGCTGCCCGCCCCTTCCCGCCTGGTTCCCCTGCCGCCAACCCCACTGCTCCTTGGGCGGCTCTCCCTAGTCTCTCGGCTGTGAGGCCCTAGGGGCCGCAGGGTTGCGGCGGTTTCGGTGTCTGGAGCCACAAAGGCAGTGCCAAAGCTGGTACACAGCCTCGGTGCTGCTTAGGCACGCTTACACGGGGAACAGTTCCGTTCTCTGATAAGTACTCCTTCCTTAGAATTGTGCTGAAGCAGGCCCTGAAGCACAAGTCTTATGAGGAGCTGTCTCGAGGGAGCTGGAGTTGCTTAGTCTGGAGAGGAGAAGGCTCGGGAAGGGGGGACTTCATCACTCTCTGCAACTACCTGAAAAAGAGGACGGAGAGAGGTGGGGAATGGTCTCTTCTCCCAAGTAACAAGCGATAGGACAATAGGAAATAGCTTAGAGACGGGGAGGTTTAGACTGGATATACAGGAAAGATTTCTTCATGGGAAGGGTTGTCAAGCCTTGGCACAGGCTGCCCAAGGAAGTGGTTGTGTCACCGTCCCTGGAAGTGTTCAAAAACCATGTAGACAAGAGACTTAGTGACATGGTTTAATGATAGACTCGACAGTCCTGGGGTAACGGTTGGACTTGGTGATCCCAAGGTCTTTTCCAAACCAGTTGATTCTATGACTTCCAAGCTGTGTTGACAGTTTTGCCTTCATCCAGGCAGATAGAGCAAATGACTTGCTCAGGGATCTTTCTAGTTCAATTCTTTGCATTTTCAAGGTGTAAGCAACCAAACCCAACGTTGACTTACATAGCCATTATTCCCAGGGGGCACTAAAATGAGAATTTGTGGTAAATTTGATAGATCTATAAGATTACATAAGGAATCACAAAGTTATTGACATATAAGTTATCACTATTCGACTTAATATCCTGTTGCAATAAATACAGCAATTAAGACCTCTTGCAATCATGATAACTGATAAACACTGAGGTCCTAATAACCTGAACTTCCTTTGCAACTGTAGAAGCACATAATCCATTTAAAATTAATTTCTGAAGAGTAATATAGTGCAGGTAAGTGCATGCTATAGTATACAAGCCCTTCTCCCAAGCCTAAAGTATCTCCAGAAACAGATACTTTACACTGCTGCCTAAGAAAGCAGAAGGGTAAAAATAGGTATCGGCTTGCCTATGCCTGAAGTAATCTGTCAATTTCAAATGTAAATGATTTTCCATTTAAAAATAAACAGTGTCAACCTAGAGCAAAACAGAAAAATGGAGAGCTTGAGAGCTCTAAATTTTTTTTGTGGTAACATAATTAGTATGTCAGCTTAACATGGTTGTGCTGCCAGAAGCATCTTCTCTGCCTGTATCACAATAGTTTTTATGATCTGTAGTTTGACAGATCTCCTACAGCTCTTATAGGGTTCAGATGTTTTAGATTCCAGATTGGATTAATCTCTTGTGTAGTAATTGCATTTGGCAAAATGACAGGCTTTCTACAGTTACAATTGAACCGGCAGCTTTTCCCCTGTAAGTCCCAAACCATTACTCTTCAGTTAAAAAGCTTGCTCTTTTCCATGCAATGACTGAAGTGGCTTATCCATAAATGATGTGGTTATAAATCAATCTGACAGGCTTTTAGAAATAAGTACCAACATAAATAATTTATGATATTTGAGTAATATTTCTGCCAGGTCCAAGCTCCAGAACAAGCTCTCTTTGCTTTTACTCCGTCTCTATAAATGTGAAACCAGTTTTGCAAGAGCAGATTGTTCACTTTTTGGTTTTGTAACTGAGGTGTTACTGTTTCACAGAAGTAGTTTACACATAACACTGTTACTAGGAACGTGTTGGGAGGAGTAACCAGCAACATCTAAAAAACATGCCTTCTAAACACAGCAACACTTGCATTAAGCTAACCAGTTTGGACTGGAATTAGATTTGAAATTACTGGGGAAGCAGGATCATAAAACAATGTGCAATAGATATATTGATGTTTGATGAACTTGCAACAGCTGTGTAAATGCTGTTATGACAGGAAACTTAGCATAATGAGTAAGGAGAAGAGTTTCTCATCCCATGTTCCAAAAAATACAGGAATTTATCACATAGGCTTAGTTTCTGATGTGGATACATTCAAAAAAAGTCTTAAGTAGAAACACTCCCCCGCAAATGCATGATGTTTTTCTGCTAAGCTTATTTGAAGATAAGAAAGAGTTTTACAATGTGTTTATAAAAATGTTAATTAGTAAAAAGTATAACAAGCATTAGTGTTTTCTGTTTAGTGCAGGGAGGGTACCCTCATCCTAGACATACCAGCAGTAAGCATAGTAATACCTAGTAAATCTAAAGGTTAAGTTGTGCTGTCAGAGCCACATATATAGATTCCACTGAAGTGGGACTGTGGGTATGTCAAATCTAACGTGCCGTAACTAAGGAGAAATTGTGGTAGTGGTTTTCATATGTCTTGAAAGCAAATATATTTAAACTACTGCAGACAGCTCAAGCTTGCTATATTTTACCTTTTTATTCTCTGGTCTGAGAAGGTGGCCTGAGTCAACATCAGTAACACGTGTCAATACAGTATTGGCAAGCATCAGAGGACAGATTGAGTCTACAGTAGACACCAGGTCTCATGGCCTCCCTGTACATTGCATTGTTTAACCTGTAAAATGCCAACTATCTTTTTCTTCTGTTGAAGTTAACAGACCATTACCTCACTTTTCTCAAGTCATCAGTGTTGCTTGCCTAGAGATATCAGAAGTCAAAACTGAAGAGTTTTATTGTATGCAATTTTTCTACAGGAATTTCGTAATCTATTTTCCACTCTTTTTAAACTGTTGTATCCCACAGGCCTGTCTTGATTAGGAACATCTGCTCCATTGTACTTAAAAGGGCTACATGCCTCAGCTCAGTGTTAGGTAAAGCAGCTTTTGCATAACTGGTTAATCAACTTATAAAATAGTTTGGAGTTCCCAGAGGAGGGAATACTCCACAGAAATATAAAACTTTTGAAGTTTTTTCTATGTTTTGTTAGAGCAGTATGAACCTTAGGTTAAATATGTGGTGTTATCTTTACTACCTGTTAAATCACTTGTTGCTACATGCTGTTTGCTTTTGGTGGGCTCAGTGGAATTACATTTATTGAAAGAATGTTAAAGAGTTTTACTCAGCAAACCAAAGCTTCACTGTGAAAGAAACCATATAGAGAAGAAGATTGAATAAAAAGCCCTATAAAAGTTCACAGTCCACGTTCAAGTTGTATCTTAGATTATGTGACGCTACAATTAATTTCTCAAAACAGACATGTTCTAGCTGAGCATTTCCTAAGCTCTGGTTCTTAGACAATTCATGGTATGCAAACTATTTTGAAGTGATGCAAAACCGCCTGCTTCTACCTTACATGCGAAGAGAACTGGGAACTGACACTCCTAGCACAAGACTGAGGCACAATGCGTGATTGAAAAACCTAGGTTGTTAAGACGGAGAGGAACTGATAGGAATAGAGGTGATTTGGGACCAAAATCTCTTTTTGGGGTAATGGACCATATGGTAGAAAGATATGTGAGGAAGTGTTAATTTAGAAAATTAAAGTTATCTGCATACTATCATGGAAGCTGAAGGTGTTGCTGCCATAACCTACAGTAGTAGTTGTACTGTAGCGGTAGATTAAATTCAGGATTACCTATTCTAGAAGATTGGTTTATTTCCCACATGGGAATTCGTGTGCACACCCAGAGTTTTCTCAGCAGCTGCTCAGTTCTCTACCATCATACAAGTAAATACCTACTTCTAAAGTGCTGTTGGAAATTCGTATTTCATACCCAGTTTCACAAAATAGCCCTATTTCTGATTGTGTGCCTAATATGTTCACAATTTAAGCTTTTGTGTTATTGACATTTTTTACAAAATCAAAACCAAAATGTGATGGTAGTAAAAGCTGTTGGTATTCTTTACCTGTTCCAGTCTATCAAGGTAACCTTTTGGAGCACAGTGCAATAGCAGTAGTCTCCTGTGTGTTTTTTCTCAGTGACAAGAAAACTTTCTGAGAATATAGCTAAACTAAAAAGAATTCCCTGTAAATAATAAACAGTCACAATCACAGAGGTAATAAATTATAATTTGTAGGTGTCTTTACACTGATGTTAAACTGCTTTTATCATTCTGCATACAAAGTAAGTATATTTAAACTTTAATTTTCCGTATTTTAAGATCATTTGAAAATGCAGCCTTTTTGATACAGGTTTATGTGTCAGGCAGTCTCCCTAGCACTGTCTGGACCCTGAAGGGTGTTTGAGGCTCTTTTGCACTCTATTCAATAGCTTGTTATCTACTTCAGTATTAATATTTCACATGAGCCAAAACACTGTGAGAAGAGGGTGAGGTGAGGAAACAATATTCTGCTGAGGAATGGAAGCACCTTTCCTTCACTAGCTCTGGTATCCAAATAGATTTATAACTCCATTTGCAGAATTAACTTTTCTCTCTTCTGAACTCCTACTCTAATAATTTTGACATTAAAGTTGTGTTACTTTGAAATGTTCTGATAAGTGTTTTGAGATATAGAGCTTTACTGTACTGTGCTTCACCAATTGAAAAAGAAACACCACACTGATCTAATAGAGTGTTTGGTTTACAAGGCTCACAGCTGAAACAAACTGTTCCTTACAGGCAAAGCCTGAAACTAAACTGACATCATCTGTCTCCTTCACACAAGCTGTAGAGTAATCTATAATTTGAATACAAACCACTGATATGTTTTTAAACTGTTAATTGCAAAGAATGGTATTGCTAGTATTTTCTAGCAGCATCTGATCTGTTGGATTAAAATCATGTGAAGTGAAGCTGTTTTCAGCAGAATTCTGTACTTCCTCATTCTAATTCAGAATCAATTCCTGTATCTTATTCAGAGTTTCATTAAAGGTGTATCTTTTCAGAGAATTTAGACTGATAGTGGTTCACACTATATAAAATTTCAAAGGACTCAATACTGTTTTCAGTTAAAGCAATCTTGCTTCAAAATGCCACCCACCCACTGTGCGTAAAGATTTGTGGCAAACTGGTAATAGGGCTGTGTAGGCAAATGCACACGTTGTCGGCAATTTTTTTCCCCCAAGGGCTTTGTAATGATTAAGATCTGATCTGGGCCTCTTAGAATGAAGGGGGAAAAAAAGAAAGTAGCATTGTCCAAACTTTGATTCCCCCTGCCACCTATCACACATACTATTTTCTCTCTACTTGTCTCCCTTGCAGTGCAATGAGCTTTTTGCTTAATAGGGCAAACAGCCTGCTTAAATCACAAGTGTTTCTCCTAGTAATATTCATTTCTATTTGTTGTCTTCCAAAACCAGTTGTATTTATCATAAATTGAGGCAAACTTTTGAATGAAACACGTTCAGACGTAGGAACACTGTACAAATCTAGAACCTTTGTACCAAAGATGAATAACTATAGCCAAACAAAAATAAGGAGAATTTTAGCTACACCTGGCATAATTACCAGTGCTCATACTTGCCAAGGAAACAACTAGTATCCATTCTCTGAAAACTGTATGCCAAGTTCAGTAAACTTTGGCTTCCTTGTTTAGAGTCTAGGAAAACTACTTGGTTTTAAAAGTGCTGAATCTGCGGTACATTAGGACAGGGTACGTACTAGCCAGGTTCTGACTGACTAATAATGCTCTCCGCTGAGGATTTGGACTTTCTCAAACTATTCTGAGATCTCTGGCTGTCTTGTGTGTATATTGATCTGTTTCACATTTCTATTGCACAGAAAAGACTTAGTGGTAGACTACACTCTGAGGAAAGAAAGGCTGAAAGAACTGAGTTTGTTCAGCCTAGAGAAGAGAAGGCTCAGGGGAGACCTTATCACCATGTTCCAGGGTGGCTACAAAGAAGGTGGAGACTCCCCTTTCACAAGGAGTCACAGGCGGAAGGCAAGGGTTTATGGGCACAAGTTCCTACTGGGGAGATTCTGACTGGACACGAGGAAAACTTTTCACAATGAGAACAATCAGCCATTGGAATAATCTCTTCAGGGAAAGGGTGGGTTCCCCAACTTTGGACACTTTTAAGGTTTAGCTGGTCAGGGTGCTGGGACACATACTCTAGGTCACGCTTTGCCTTAGAAAGGTTGGACCAGATGATCCCTGAGGTCCTTTGCAACCTGGTATTCTGTGATACCAGCTGTACTCAGCATTTGTGTTTCTGGGCATATATAGAAGTGCTGCTGGAATTCCTTTGCATGCCTTTAGTATAAACTGAGCAAGAGCACTTCTCCAGCAGCAAGGTGGAGTGGTAATGCAGTACTGGGTAGTTGTGAGACACTGGCTTGGAAAAGGGTGCCATCTACTGAATTGCTGCTACAACTTCTTAAAATTCTGACAGATCTATATGTTTTTCAACCCTGCATAGTTTATATGATTCCGCCATAACACAGGACAGTATGATTACAGTCAAAACAATAATCTGAAATAAAGACTGACGAATCAGGGTATCGACAAGTAGAATTTTAGAAAGTTGCCTCTGCTTTTCATCAGATTCTAAGTATTAATGGATCTTGAAAGCGATCTGGGAAGACAGTGCTGAAGAAGCTGAAAGAGGGAATTCTGGTTTTCCTTACCTAGAATAATACAATACATTTACCTAAAAACCAAACAGCTGTTACCAGCTTAATATTTAAACTAAGGCCTCAAGACACTATTAATTTTTCAATCTAGTTTCTGATCTTATACAGGATTTAGATGCTGTTGAATTTTTTAATTTATTTCATTTTACTAGCAAGAATAATGTATTTGTTCATTAAATAAAGTAATTGTTTCACTGTCGTCATATAATTTAATTTAGGCTCACCTTTACTGGTTTTATGGATGGAAGACAGGAGCGGTGCTTCTGCTTCTAGGATGAAACTTGCCATTTCTACCTACATATTTTAACTTATTTAAGAAGGAAAGTTTTGACTGTTCTGAAACAACATCAGAAAATAGATTTCCAGCTGGGGCTGTAGTGCTTCTGTGGAGTGAGAAGTACAGTACTGTAATGTCTAACACATCTATTACAGAACATTGTTATACTCACTGGGCAGTGAACTTCCAACAGCTTTTTGGCTTGTCTTCATATGGACTGTTCTGTTATCTTCAGTGTTTATATTTTATCTTTAAGGATGCCTGAAAGTCAATGGAAAGACGGCGAAAGTTGCATCAGCAGCAATACTTCTAGCACTACCAGCTCGGTTGCTTGCTTTGGACAGGTCAGTTCCTTTTGCCTGAGAGGGAAATAGAAACTTTATGCTTGCACTTCCAGAAATCTGCTCTGCATATTTACTCATTTTAAAGCTGGAGCCCTATCCATAAGCCTAGCTATACTATACCTACTTGCACAGAACATTTTTGGTGATGAATCTTCTTCTGCCTAGTAAGCATTTATACAAAGTTCCTGAATACGACACAGTCATGTGCACTCTTCCTTTATCCCTCATGGCTTTTGGTTACAGAGCTGCATTATAGTGCAGAAAAAGACAGTTATTTCTTTAAGTTTTAATAGAACCAAATACAAATTTAAGAGTTTTGGCAGGCGTTGGAACATTTTGCCTGGCAAAATCTTGGAGCAGATTCTCCTGGAAGGCATGCTAAGGCACATGAAAAACAACAAGGTGCTTGGTGACAGCCAGCATGGCTTCACTAAGGGGAAATCCTGCCTGACCAATCTGGTGGCCTTCTATGATGGGGCTATGGAACTGATGGACAGGGGTAGAGCAGTTGATCTCATCTACCTGGACTTGTGTAAAGCGTTTGACACTGTCCCACACGACATCCTTGTCTCTAAATTGGAGAGACATCAATTTGATGGATGGACCACTCGGTGGATAAAGAACTGGCTGGATGGCCGCACACAAAGAGTTGTGGTCAATGGCTCAATGTCCGGCTGGAGACCAGTAACAAGTGGTGTCCCTCAGGGATTGGTGTTGGGACCGGTCTTGTTCAACATCTTTGTCACTGACATGGACAGTGGGATTGAGTGCACCCTCAACAAGTTTGCCGATGACACCAAGCTGTGTGGTTCGGTTGATACCCTGGAGGGAAGGAATGCCATCCAGAGGGACCTCGACACGCTTGTGAGGTGGGCTGATGCCAACCTCATGAAGTTTAACCATGGCAAGTGCAAGGTCCTACACCTGGGTCAGAGCAATCCCAGGCACAGCTACAGGTTGGGCAGAGAAGAGATTCAGAGCAGCCCTGCAGAGAAGGACTTGGGGGTGTTGGTCGATGAGAAAATGAACATGAGGCAGCAGTGTGCACTTGCAGCCCAGAAAGCCAACCGTATCCTGGGCTGCATCAAAAGGAGCATGACCAGCAGGTCAAAGGAGGTGATCCTGCCCCTCTACTCTGCTCTTGTGAGACCTCACCTGGAGTATTGTGTGCAGTTCTGGTGTCCTCAACATAAAAAGGACATGGAACTGTTGGAACAAGTCCAGAGAAGGGCCACGAGGATGATCAGGGGACTGGAGCACCTCCTGTATGAAGACAGGCTGAGAAAGTTGGGGCTGTTGAGCCTGGAGAAGAGAAGGCTGCGTGGAGACCTCCTAGCAGCCTTCCAGTATCTGAAGGGGGCCTATAGGGATGCTGGGGATGGACTATTCATTAGGGACTGTAGTGACAGGACAAGGGGTAATGGGTTAAAATTTAAACAGGGGAAGTTTAGATTGGATATAAGAAGGAAATTCTTTCCTGTTAGGGTGGTGAGGCACTGGAATGGGTTGCCCAGGGAAGGTGTGAATGCTCCATCCCTGGCGGTGTTCAAGACCAGGTTGGACGAAGCCTTGAGTGATATGGTTTAGTGTGAGGTGTCCCTGCCCATGGCAGGAGGGTTGGAACTTGATGATCTTAAGGTCCTTTCCAACCCTAACTGTTCTATGATTCTATATATGGCACACACTCTATTCGATTCTGTGTTCTGCTGAATGATAGGGCAGCCAATACATGCATACACAATACTTATGATTTAGGTGGTGAAATCTCTGTTCTGTCTCACATCAGAGCATAGCAACACAAGCATTTTAGTGCTTGAATCCTTCAGCATGCATTTAGGCCTCTCTAACCTTTACAGATTGTAAATTGTACTTCTGCTTAGAGAAGGACCAAAGTTACAACACTTTATGCTTCCAGTGATGCTGGTTGTTATCTGATCATACCAGTGATTCTGGAGTTATCCAAAGGACCTCTCTGCATGAGGAGAATTTGCTGAATGCTCCTCAAGAGATTCCTGGGTTGACTGCTTGCCTGAGCTGCTTATCCACCCTGCCATGAAGGCATATGGTGGTAGAGTAAGGTTAAACTTGGGTTTGGTTGGAGTTTTAAAATAAATTTCTCTTGTTCATCACAGAGAGATGTTTTATTTTTTGAGAGGTGAAACATAATCTTAAATGCATATTCCTGGCAACATTGACTAGGATTATGACTGCATTAAGATTTCAATTAGGATACTAATAGGCCTGGCTCATCTCAGTTTTTCTAATGTAGCTGGTGGTTATGAGAAATGAAAAATAATTGCTACAGCTCAATAATTAATGCTTGTATACATATACTTCCAAGAGTAAGGGAAAAGAATGGCAGAAATATAATGGCAAATGTAATGCACACATACCCCCTGAGGTCTTTCCTTGTCTGTTAACAACCTGTTTCGAAAAATGGATCATACACCTCTTGGAAGGACAGTGTGTGGAAAAATGGGATTAAGAAGTGATATTAGCAGAAAAGGGGGAGCTAAAATGAAGGGAGACTTATTTTGCTTTTTTTTTTTGTCAAGCATCAATACACAGCCAGTGAATATCAAGCTATCCAGCATGCTCTTCGTCAGAGGCTGGGTCCAGAATACATCAGTAGTCGGCAAGCTGGAGGAGGACAAAAGGTAAGAATAAACATGCCCAGATGTTTCAACCCACTATTTTGGTTTATTTTATTTCCAGAAAAACTAGGGTAGAAAGAAGTTACAATATTTTATTTTTTTTTTGGGGGGGGGGGTGAGGGTTGTTTTTGATTTGTTTTATTTTTAAGATAATTTCCCACTAATAGTTTAACATGTCTATAAAAAAGTAAAGTCAGTACAGCATAAACCCTGGCTTCTATTGAGGTTCCTTTCACACTTAAAAAAAAGACAACTTTTCAATGCTTCATCCTTCACAAGAGAATATTTATCAACTTGTGGAACATCGAGATATTTTTCTTATTTTTTTCCAGAACTGGAATATACAAAGTATTATATAACATTGGCTGCATTTTACCCTCTTTAATGCCTACTAGCTCTGCTGATTAAGTCTTTTTTGTTATATCAACCCCCATCACAGGTGCTTGAGGAAGGTGCGCCATCTAAAAGCTGCACCAGCGTCCTTTTATTCACATTATCAGAACCTTGAACTTAGGTGTCGGTAGTGTAAGATGATGTGTGTAATCCCTCTTTAAAATAAAGTATGTATAGATGTGTGCACACATGTATGTACCTATACGTATATTTATGTATAAATGCTTTGCTTTTCAGGTCTGTTACATTGAGAGTCACAAGGTAATCAGTCTGGCCAATGAGATGTTTGGCTTCAATGGCTGGGCTCATTCAGTCACTCAGCAGAATGTTGGTAAGTATCTCTTGTGGGTAAAGAAGTCTTTCCTCTTGCTTCACTGTGAGGTGCAGAAGGAAGAGACTCTCAGATAAAGACCTGGGTATCTATCCTAGAACTTGATCACTTCAAAGAACCTGGGGAGAGGCATGTGGAATTTCCAGGTGTCTTAGCAGTTGGTAAGAAGGAGAGAAATCGAATACTAATGGAGCTTGTGTTTTCTTTTTAGATCTTGCACTGGAATGTGTTGTAGTCATTATTCTAAGTGTGTTTGTGATTACTCTTGAGCTATTCTAATCAAGTGTTCTGATCTCTATGGGAACACTCAGTCAAGAGTAATTCCAGTTAAACTATATAACATCCAACAACCCTGTGACTACTTTCATCCTCACCTGTAATTTCTATGTTCTAACAAGTTCCTGTACTCAGTTAATATTCCCCTAATCTTTAGGGACCCATCTTTTTCTGCAGATTCCTCTTCTAGCCAGTACCTGGCTTTGAGGTTTTTACAATAGAAAGATTTGGAAAAATGCTTGTTCTAGAAAATGATATTCAGGTCATCTTAAAGCTTAAGCTCTCACATCTCAATAGCTGAAATAGTTCCTACCAGAACAGTATTGTCCTTGCTTGCAGATATGCTATGCTTAGATTGAAGACTGGTTGTTGAAGTAGCTCACAAAGCTGCTTAAGTGTAGCTCCTTCCTCCTTTCCACGTTCAGAAATCTTTTCTTACCTCTTTCTACTGGTAGATTTTAGACATAAGTTACTTCATTGCTTCCCATCTATTCTTTACCACTTTACCACTACCACCACTCTTTTCAGTGAAGAAAAAGCTGACATCCTTCTACCTTTTATGGTTTTCAAATAATGCCATAACAAAACATTCCTTAGAAATTCAGAGACAGAAGATTCTGTTATGTTTGATTTTAAATTCCTGGGTAGAAAATGAGCTTGCACCCCCAGCAGGTTTATATAAAACAGTTTGAACAAATAGACCAGATGAGTACAGAAGAACTTTTGACTTTTGGACCCCAGAGTACAGTTACTTGAACTTCAAAGCATTTAATTTCAGACATGTATCATGGGACATGTCAGACTTGTAAGACTGCTAGCTGGAGTGCCCAATGTATATTACATAGCATTGCTTTTGGTGTAAAATAAAGTATATTAGAGATTCTGGATTGGGAGTTGTATTGCAACCTGTTAAGCTCTTCAGACATTTTGTCCTGGATAAAACCTTGTGCAAAATTTCACAAACTGGAGACTTCTACTATGTAATAGGAACAAGTTACTTTTATACACAACGGTTATTTTTCTATTGCTGTTTTTATAAACTGATGCTTTTATATTCCCTTCCAGCTGAAAAAATTCTGATGCTTTGAACATGTAGGATATGTAATTGAATGAGAAGTAAAATTTTCAGTTCTTTCTTTCTTTCTTACATGTGTTTAAGTTTATACACATAGTAGCAGGCTGTCACTGTTGGCAGGTCTAGCCACTAATAACCAGAAAGTATCACATAACATGCCCAGAGCATATATGCAAGTCAGCATTCTCAAACTACAGTTAATATTTCAAAGTCGTGCTCCATTACAGTATCTTAGGCACATTCAGCAAGTATAGTACAGGTTTATGAAGGAAAAGACAAAATAAGACCTAAATTTAGATCAGAAGTCTTTTGCATTATTTAGGATGTTACTTTTCCCTCCCCCAGACTTTGTTGACCTCAACAATGGCAAGTTCTATGTGGGGGTCTGTGCATTTGTGAAAGTTCAGCTTAAGGTAAGTGGAGTTTTTGTTTGCTGTGTTTATAGTTAAGCAAATGCCTGAAGCTGTGAATTAAAGTTCATGCATAGGTCAGGCTGTGGCTCTTGAGTACTGTACTACGTTAGAGAATCTAGAGGGGTCCAAAACATTGACCTTGCTATAGAACAACCAGCTAAGAGCAAGTGATCAGGCTTAGGAGAGTACAGCATCTAACAAGAAGTGCTGTATGTGCAAAAATTCATTTATAGTTTGTAATTTTAACATTTCATTGCAGGATGGGTCATACCATGAAGACGTGGGGTATGGAGTCAGTGAAGGCCTAAAGTCTAAGGCCTTGTCCCTAGAAAAGGCAAGAAAGGAGGCAGTAACAGATGGACTGAAGAGGGCACTCAAGTAAGTGCAGATCAGTACTTGTACGTTTTCAGAAGTTACATGAGAATTAAGTGTTATTTTCAGTCACAGTGAGCTCTCTTGTTTCACAGGTGCTTTGGAAATGCTCTTGGGAACTGCATCCTAGACAAAGACTACCTACGAGCTGTGAATAAGCTTCCACGTCAGGTGCAGTACATGGGCTGTTGGAGCAGGGGCTGTAGGACATCTGCTGGTCCTGGTCCTTCATATTGCAAAGATTATAAATAATGCATCTCATCCCCAAATGTTTCTGGCTAGGGGCCTTTACCTGCTAGTTTGTGTGAACTGTTTGTTACAGAGTTCTTCCCTGACATTTTACCCCAACTACTCTAAATTTGACTGTTTTCAGCAGACAAGATTACTATGGTGAAGAAACAGTATGCTACTCAAGATCTCGTGATATTTATGGCCATGTTGTCCAAGTCTCTCTGTTCATTGCCTGTAATGCATAGATCTGTCTGTCTTCAGAGCAGGTTAAGTGTTACCATAAGAAACACTAAACTGTTGAAACTAGCTTGTAGATGATATTTTCTCCATGTGCTGTAATTCTTAAGACTGTTTATGGTTTTTCAGCTGCAGCACCCAGTTCATTGCTCTCATCTAGTCACTTCTGTTTTAAATGTGTATCAGCAAAGATACCAGTGTCAAGGCATATATTTATCACAGAGATGAAAGGAAAGTGTTTAGGAGAATAGAGTCTGTCAAGGCTGCGTGCATGTTTCTTTGCTTGTATGCTTTTGACCTGCATTGGGCAAAACCAGAATACATCTCTCTCTGTTCTCATTGTCAGTGGTACAGCACAATCCAGTTTCCTATTATGAATTTTAAAAATCAAACATGTTATATTCCTCTCATTACTGAACTTTATCAGGAATAATATTTTAAAACAGGATAGGAAACGCCTGCATATAGTGACACAGTTTCCAATTGCTGTAATAGGTTGTAAAGCCAGAGGCTATGGGCACGGCCAAAGAATAAGCAGACACTGTCTCTATTATCTGTGTAACCTACCCTAAAGCAGGTACAGCTCCTGTGTGCATTCCTGCAAAATGAGGACTATTTGATTTAGTCTCTCAAGCCAACAACCTATATGTTAGCCAGTGGGAAGCAGGAAAACGGAGCATTCTTTAAACTTCAGGAAGCTCTGGCTGAAAATAGGATTTTTTTTTCATGAAAAAGACTTTCCCCTTCATACAGATATTATTAGCATAGCCCAGGATATCCTAGAAACAATACCAGGTGGGTCACATACCAAAGCTGCTTGTTGTAGCTAGAACTTTCCCTTAATTTTAAGCAAAACCCATAAAGTAGCGATGTCAATATGTTCATTGATGGTTGCTCTGTCCTTCTACTAATTAGTATTAAAACTCTACTGCATATCACAGCTAGATAGACTCAGCGTGGTCCTTGTGACAAAATGTATAGTGCCCCTGTATTTAACCCCTCTTTTTTTTGCTAGAGTAGTTAACAAAGTAGTTATTCTGTACCAGTGGTTTTGTTCTGAAGTCTCAAAGAAAGGTAGTTTCTACAGGTGGTTTCATCTGTCAGTTAACCAAATCGGATCCTTTCCAAAAGAACACCACAGACTACTAAATGCATCTGTGGTAGAAAGAGCAAACCAAACTGTTTAGACTGGACCCACAACAACTTGTAACTCTTGCCAGTCACTTTGAAGTTTTACCACAGAAGAGCAAAACAGGTCACACCATTTTGTTTTGGTGTTGTATGAGGAGTGTACAAATGGCCCTGCAAATGTCCTCTGCCTGACTTCAAAAATGTACTGGTATCTGAATTTTGCAACTGAATTATGAGAACAGGATGTATGGGACTTGGCTGCTGGAGGATGACAAATAACATTAGGAAGAGCTATGCTCCAAATTATTTGCTTTAATATTTGATATGATGCTACTGGCAAACTGTGGCTCTTGAACGTATGATGAATTAGCATGTACAACTGATGTGTACTTGAACACTTATTTTCCCTGCCATAATGATGGCTCTTATCCTTCCTGAAGGATAAGAAGCCACATTACATCTTGCTTTGCTTTTCAGACTCCTTACCTCCTTAGGTTTCAGTTTGCAAAGGAAGAGCTGCAGTTACTTTACCTGTTAAACACTAGGTTGTTGAACCTTCTGAGGTAACGAACACCATGGAGAAATGCCCCATTTGGAGGTCTTTGGTTCAGAGAGAGACAGCAAATTGTGATGTACAGCATCAGTGACAACCATACTGTAACCCCAGTCTTTCAGAGCCATCACAATTCATAAGCATGCTGCGATGTAACAGCAGTCTTCATAATATTAAAGTTGTCCTGGCTGTTAGTGAGGTTGCACCTCAGGAGCCAGCATTAATCGTGTTTGTTAGCTCCTGATGCGTACCAGCTGGGGGCAGTAGGCTTCTAAGAGGTAACCTGGCTTGCTGATAGAGCAAAAAGTCAGTCTTTTAGAACTGCTGATCTGTGAACTTCCAAAGTAAAGTTGCCTTCATCGTACTAGGATTTGCTAGACTCTGCTAGCCAGCCTGGAGCTGTAAGGGCTTTCTGTCTAGCTAAATTAGACTACGGGAGCAGATCCAAAGCGACACCTTGCCAAGTAAAGATGGCGAAGATCTTTGCTTTGCCAGGGTCATTATCTGCTAGCAGCTTTGCCACAGATTTGTAAATTCACAGAGCCAAACCATCCCAGCTTTACTAAAAAGAGAATGGTGTGCCTTCCTCAGTGACCTCATGCCTGCAGAGCTGCATAAAGGTTTGCCATGCCCTTTAATACAGCCATGAAAATGGAACTGGCAAAACTGACAGATTCAACAACAGACTTGCGAGCTTTTCTGAGAAGCTGTAGAATTCTGCATTGATCTCCAGCATGTGTTCTGGTTTGCAGACAGTACAGTATGTGGAGACAAGGCCTATCATCTGCCATGAAGCACTGAGCTATTAAACTAACCCAGAGTCCCATAAATTCAGTAATTAACTGAATGACTTTGTACTCAAAATGTGTTTCAGTTTCCTTCCTTACTATTCCACTTACAGCAAACAAGCTAGATTTTCAACAGTACTGTATAAAAGAGTCTTTAACTTGGCAAAGGAAGTTCCTGAACATGTTTTCTTTTTTCCTTTACTAGGTACCTCCTGAGTTAGATTTGGTCAAAGCTAAAAGACAAGACTATGAGCCTGAAATAGAGAAAGCAAGATACAATAGCTGTTTGCAAAGAGAGAACTCAGCAGCAAGGCAACGTTGTGAGATGGCATCTGATTGTAAGCCTGGTCAGCCAAAGGCTGCTGCAGTGACAGTAGGTCAGAAACAGCTAAATAGCTCCAGGTAAGACCACTATCATAAACTGATTTTGTAAGCTCCATTGGAAGTTACTGCACTGTTAAAACACATGGACAGGCCAATTTGGAGGATGCTATAAAATGCTGGTTTAGTGGATAATATTTTTCTCTTGCTGTTACTTCTTTATGCATCTTTTTCTTCATCAAAAGTAGTTGCTGAAATCCTGTTTAACACTGTGATTCCCTGGGTGGGGGCGGGACAGAAATACAGACTCTTCAGCTATTGAATGTGATGCCACTTACCAGCGGAAATTGAGACAAAAGCAGCTACAGCAACAGTTCCGGGAACAGATGGAGAAAAAACATCAGGTTCCTGTCGTTTCTCCCAGCAGCAAACACGGTAAGACTCAGCATTAAATATGGACAGTTTCAACAATAGTTGCTGGCAGGCACATGCTACCTTCTCTAGTGGAGCCTGACTAGTTCCACCTGCTTTTGTAGTGTACTGTCTACACACCTTTGAGGCCAAAAGAAGGAGGATTAGCACACTTCCCCACCCTTCGTGTTCTTAAAGAAGCAGGAATGTCAGTTCTAAAACTGCATCTTTAAACTACAACTTTTCAACTACCCAAAAGCATCATGCAGCACAACAGCTGTTGACAGTACTATTAACATGCTGCACCTGAGCTGAGGCTGCAGCACTTCACTGGGGTGGTTGCAGGCAAGTAATTTTGCATTAGCTACTAGTAGGTTGCTCTTTACTCATGGGGAAGTCTGATCAGCTGTGGGATAAGCAGGAACTTGGGGATTGGGTAAACAGGCTAAAATCCATTCTAAAGTAGTGCAGTTGCTCCCATCAGCCATCATCAGGTACAGAATCTTGCTGTTCCACATACCAAAATGTAACCAGCTCTTAGAAAAAAGAGGGTACCTGGTGGCAGCTGCTGCTTATCATTTGACACTCTGGCTCTGATAAGAAGGAGTAAAACTGTTTGCCTGTATTTATTTCTAATATTAATCTCTTCTTGTGTTACCTCCATCCAGCAATACCCAATCCTCCTGTAAAGCACAGCACTCCAGCAGCAGTACAACAGGAACTAGCAATAGAAGAGGAGTTCTTTGCAGGTCAGCCAAAAAGCAATACGTAATAGAGTATTAAATCATTATCATTTAAATCAACTCTTCACGGTACAGTGCAATGGTAAAAGTTCTGAGAAGGCTGGAGTGACAGAAGTGTGAGCATGAGTCTGATCTTAACAACAACAAATTTTGCTTGAGTGGCAAGGCAGCGGTGTCCATCACCGTGAGGGGTTTCACACGTTTGCTTTTCAGTTATACTGTTTGATAAACCCTTTTCCTGAAGTGATACTGCACAGAAGCACAACATTTGGAGTGGGATGGGGGTGGAGGATGTCTTGTCTTAACATAGCTGTGGCTATTTGAGTCACACGCCATGGTGCCTGGAAGTCCAGAGCACCATCCCCTGCTGTGCACTGACATAGAAGATGCTTTACAGCTTAACTTCAATAGTTACCAGCACTTGTAGGAAAAGAGTGCACTGATGCTGGTGTTCCTGTCACTCCTGCAGTACATTACCATTGTCTTTGGTTTGATCAGTTTTTCATGCCTTCTAGATGATCCTGAACTTTGGGACATTTCCTTGGAGACCATTGATCTTAAGATATTGGGTCACGAAATGGCAGACCCATCAGCCAAACAACAGACACCTGAAACACCCAGTGGTTGTCATCAGATGACTACTCGTAACAGGACACCCCACAGAATGAACTATCACAAAGCTTCTGCTAGGCTTGCACAACTGCAGCCATCTGCTACCATCATGAGCAGCAACCAGCATACTTCAGGTACGTGGTACCAAAGCATGACCAAGTTCTGGCTTAACAGTGGCTCTCAGCACTAAAAGCAGCACTGGTAAACAAGTAAACGAGTGGGAGAACCATTCCTCTCTTCTTGGACCTGCCTGTAGATGCTGCAAGAGTGGGCTAGGAGAACTATCTGTTTCTGCTATCCAACTGTCCTGTCTAGGAAGAGCTAGAAAAAAAAATTGAGGTGCACTTTTAGAAGCAAAAGAAAAGCTTGAATAAACTTCCATTTCTCCCTGTCTCCTTGTTTGGCAGAGTGCAGTCCCCTCAGGAGAAGTCAAAACCTGAAGAAAAGGAGGCTAGAACCCACGTAGGACATGTGGTGATATCCTTACCTCCATGCTGGATTCCATCTGAAGACTTGCAACTGGCTGTCCAAGTCATGTGAGGAAGTCTAATGCCTTGGTGGATTTTCCTGTGTGTTACAGTGAAGCAATACAGAAGAGCTTAACGCAGCCAGCAGGAACTTAATGTGCTTTAAGGTTATTACATATTTCAAATGCCTTTTCCTATAAACAAGCAATCATTTGTGCTTCTGCAGCACTGGACTCATGGCTGTAGTAGGCCAGTTGATGTGACACACAATTTGCCTGAAATGGTAACAGAATTGATCTTTAAAATGAGAGGCAATTCAAGGTTTCTTTCTTCCTCAGTGCTGCCTCTCAGCACAGAGCAAAGAGATGTTCACTAATACAGGGAGGGGGGGGATTATGGTCAGACAACGCCTCGGATCTGCGGTTGCCCCTTTGGAGGAGCTGAGGGCACAAAGCTGTGGGAGCACAGAGTCGGAGCCTGCCTCTCTTCCTCAGCTGTATGTGACTCCAGTGCAGCTGCACATCTAGCTGTGCCTGCACAACAGGGCAGCACAGGGGCAGGAACATGCTGGGACTGCTGCCAAAGTTGCACATAGCATCTCAGACAGTGTTTGCTTGGAGCCTTTGTAAGATGAATGGGAGCAGCACTTTTGATTTTAAATAAGCTTTCAACCCTTTTCAATATAAAAATAAAGGTAAAATTTGAAGAACAACCACGCTTTGTGGCTCTTTGTGCCTCTGCACCCTTCAACCCATCACAACTCAATTCCTGTGTAATTGCTCAAATTAGCTCAAAGAAGTTAATACATTCTGACTAGTTACGAGTAGGAAGCGAAAGTGCCTGTACAGCCTTGCATTTGCTTTTAGGTGGGCGAACAGAAAAAGAACATCCAGCGAGTTTCAAAGGTTTGAGCCAGGCAACAGCCATTCCTGCCAGCAAGGTCAAAGGAAACATTTTTAAGCAGTGTTTGAAAAACACCCGTGTCCATGTTGAGGCTCTGGAAAGGGCAGTGGTTCCACTGGGAAAGCCCCAGTTCTCTTCCTCTGGCAGTGAAGTGGTTCAGCCACAGCTCCCAGGCACCACTGGAGCAGCACTCCTCCTGGTAAGTGGTAGCTCCAGCTTCCCCAGGTATGATGTGGGGACCCTGGCACCTGCAGCACTGGAGACCAGGAGGATGATTGCACTAGATGTTAGGATGTTCTTAACTATGAGGGTGGTGAAACATTGGCATAGGTTGCACAGAGAAGCTGTGGCTGCCCCATCCCTGGCAGTGTTCAAGGCCAGGTTGGATGGGGCTTGGAGCGACCTGGTCCAGTGGAAGATGTCCCTGCCCATGGCACAGGGTTGGAACTAAGGTCTTTAAGGTCCCTTCCAAGTGAAACCATGCTATGATTCTATGGTTGATGGCAGTATAGAAAGATAGGACAAATTATAATTAAGTGTAATAGATTAGATTACATCTGAAAGTTACACATTCCACTGTGCTTGTCGCTCTGACTCAGCACTGCCTTCAGAACAGCCCAGGGAAGAAATACATACCACATGTCTGAATGGGATTTTCATGCTCACTGTGGAAATCAGATACCTGTTGGGAAGGGACTGTGCAGACATTCAGAATTACTGTGTTTAAAGCCACTTAAAACTTACAACAAAAACGTTAGAAGTCTCATATAAACACAGCTTTCAGCTTCCATGGGAGGAGTGCCAACATAGCCGTGCCTGTAAGTGAGGTCACCAGTGAGCCTCTTGGGATTGGTCCCTTTTAAAAGGGCACCGAAACTTCCACTCTGAGCTTTTTATTTTCCTGTAAGGACTTGCACAGCATGACTCATAGCAGAAGCTGTTCTTAAAATGGAAAGAAACGCAGCAGCAACTAGTGTTTAGAAATGTCAGTTAATTCCAGCAAGGCTGCAGTAGTTGAACGACCCTGTAAAGTCATCCCACTCTTCTACTCTACCAGGATAGTTGCAAATTTGGGATGGAATTCCTCTTCAGAGCCACACTAAGAGGTTTCTTCTCCCCAGCACTGCAGGCATGCACCCTGGCTCCCTTCCACCCAGAGAGGAGGATGAGGGACTCAACAGGACCCTTCTGTGACAGGCAGGGTGCAGCAAACCCTGCTCCGGCCTCACTGCCAAAAGGACACGCAGCAACCCAGGTCATAGGGCTCCACCTGCACTTGGAACAAGGAGAGCTGCCAAGTTCTTGAAGGTTGCAGCTTAGTGTGTTCCTCTGCTCTCTGGTGACTGCTGGACAGTCTCAACCATAAAAGCAATCCCTGCTTGTATGTTATCCTTCACCTCTTACATTATATGTCACAGCTCCTCCCATCTGGAAGAGCCATTCTATGAATTATTCTTTACCACCCCTTACTTCAGAGTATTCTATTAGAAGGGCAAAGGCTCGCCACTGATCACTGCTTTTGAGAAGCAAAGGGTTTCATTAAAACAGGTTTCTTGTATTTCCCTGTGATGAACTGATTAAGTTGGGTCACAATTACCAGGAAGAGGGTGGAGAGGATGGGACCTGCTGTTCAACAAGGAAACTCACAGCTCAACCAGAGCAGGTTTGGTTTATTCGAATGACTCCATCCAATACTCTACACAGGTACCGAGTGGCAGCCGCGACAAAGCGCAACCGTCCGAGAAGAGCAGTGCCGGGGTTGAGTGCAAGCCACACAACTCACCACGGCCAGGGGAGCCCAAAGGTTCAGTTCATTTTATTTTTTTTTTATTTTTATGTTTTTACAGTGTACATTGTTAAATAACGTAAAGAAAACGCCTGTAATTCAGAAACAGATTTTATGTGGAAAAAGATACTCAAAGTGTAATATTAAACAAAATAATTTAACAGTTCAGTAGCATTAGTTTATTCCTCTAGACTTCAGTTATTCATCCACAGGAGGGGAGGGGGAGGGGGAATCAATGGTAAATAAAACCAGTTCTTGCATAACATTAAGTGAAAAAACGACCTCAAACTTAGTAGATAAAAATTAAATAACCACGTGCTGCATATCCAGCCAATCGGTTCCCCTGGCATGAACGTTCCCCTTGTTTCATCCCTGCCTCAGGTCTGCCACTGCTCCCGTTCACAGAGCTCACCTCACCCCTCACACTGCGTGCCTTCAGGAGACCCCTCTGCATCCACCCTGGGACTCCTGCTTTCTGCCTCTTCCCCACGTGCCCACCTCAAGCCTCCTCTCTCCTGTACCTCTACTCTGCACTTCAGTTACAAAGAACAACCCCACTGGGCCTAAGGAACTGGAGCTCACCCCACTTGCTTTCACCCCCAGCCTGTACCCAACCCCATTGCCAAACCTGCTGTAAAACAAAGAGACAGGAAAGGAATGGAGCTCAAGTATTTCTTTGGAAAGATGAAAGAGCGAGGACATCTGCAGACAGAAAACTCCCTATATTAAGGCTCCAGGGGGGCAATAGCGCTTCAGGAAGGAAACAGAACAGGCAAGCAACATCTCCATGATGCGCCAGCTTCCAGGATACTGGTGAGCTACTCCCAAGTACCAGGAAGCAGTACCCTCATCCTTCACAGCTTTCTGCAGCACTACAGGAATACTGGCTGGTATTATTCTTACTTTGAAGAGGAAACCAGTATTTGTTTCTTTAAATAGGGAAGGGAGAATGACCAAAGCAGGAGGTACAGTACAGTTCCTCAGAGGTGACAGATAGTTACAGTCCTGGTACCAGCTTGGAATTTGATAAGAGCGAACAGAATCGTGAATCCTCCCAGACAGAGGAAACTTCTTGACGCCGGCTGTTTCAAGAACATCCATTGCCGGCAATGGACGTTGCACCAGGACATTCCTGGCTTACATGGATTTTACCAAAAATTAAATAAAATTAAAAAAAAAAAGAAAAAAAAAAAAGAAAAAAAAACAGAAAAAAGAAAAAAGAAAAGGTAAGCAAAGCAATCCCAGCAGACCGGCCCACGCCAGCAGGCAATGGCACCTCTCCCTCGAGTCACAACCTGACCAAACACCTTCACCACTTTGCCGGTGGAGTCTAACTGCATCTTCAGTTGGGCCTCTCCCAAAGACACACATTCTCCCCATCCTCTGTTCATTTCCGATCCAGACCTCCTGCCTCCGCAGCCAATACTGGTGAGTCCTGTCTTAGCTTCACTTGCACCCCTCCGTCCCCCGCCACAGCAGCCACCTCAGACCTGAGGACAAGCTTCCCCAGCGTATGGAACACTGTTCCGGCCCGCAGCCTCCACGACTTCCCCCTCCAAACACCTACTCTAAACAGTAACGGTATCACTAAAGAAGCTCTTAGGTACAAATGGTCCGTCCTTCTCTGAGCCTGCCCTGGTCCGCCTGGGGGTCTGCTGGGAAGATGACGCTAACTGCAGAAGCAATAGAAGTCCAAGGCACTAAAATATCCAGCAAGCATACTGGGAGAACAGACAAGTATTCAAGTACATTAATTTATACAATTTTACATTCACATTTATTTATCTAATACAATGAAAATACAAAGGAAAAAGTTAAAGTGTCTCCAATAAGTATAAGGATATAGCTAGCTTTTTTTCCCATTTTTTAACGTTTTTAACCCTCTATATTCCACTCATTTTTAAACTACTGTTGTCCAACAACATTTATATATCACAGTGTTTCCACATCAAAACTGATGGTAAGTACATGTCCGCAGGGAACTTTAAAAAATTCTTTTAAACAATTTAAATTGCTCTAATGCTGCAGTCAAAGCTGTTAATATCTTACTTAAAGCAGTAATGACCTATAAAGCACGGGCTGCACTGCAAGTCCATTCGTGTGCCCCACCATTTTGGAGCCAGATACGATTGACTGGGGAGAGGGAGAGGAGGGGGATTTGGACAACTTTTCTCCTGGTCTTGGTTCTTCAGGGAGAGATGAGAAGCGTGCTAAAGCCTCATGCTAGGCTTCAGCTCTCCCATCTCGACAAGTGTGGATTCAGCCTCAAACTAGAGAAAAATTACACAGCAAGACTGCATGAACTGACCCCGTGACTTTTCTTCACAACTCTTGATCCCAACAAGAGCAGAACCCCTCGGTCAAAAGCACTGCCCCATCATAAGGATGCTGATCATCCTCCTCCCCCTTCAAGGTGTGTGGGGAAACTCCCTTTACAGAGAGTTGACGGCAATGGTTGGAAAAGAGAAATTCATTCCCAGTCTGGCAAGCTACCAGTTCATTGCAGCACTAGG